TGGCTCCAGATCCTCTCTATGCATCTGGGAAGGGCGAAAACAGCCTTTCCCACTCCCTCGGAGCCCTCCGGAGGCCTGAAAGGGCCCATTTCTGAACTCCCGGTGGGACAGGAAGTGGCGTTTTTTACTGTCCCCAGCCTCTAGAGACTCCTAGAGAGCTGGGGGGGGGAGGATTGCGCACGCATGCGCAGTGCAGGGCGCCTAGAATTATGGGTGTGGGCATGCACGCACGTGAACCTCCCCCGCCCCCCCCCCTCCTGGCACGCAATGGCAAAAAGGTTAGCCATCATTGGCTTAGAACATCACAGTGGCTTTGACTGTGGAAATATTAAGGATGCTTGACAAGCAGTTGTCATTGGATGGACCAGTTTACACAACGAATGTATGAGTAATTTACCCATCTCTGAATGACTCCCTCAGGTTTGGTTAAACAATGCAATCAATTCATAGATTTTGGCTGTGGGAAAGTAGGTACGCTTTGTCTTTGTCGAAACGGCAAAACCACTGCTGCTTTAGTGATGTAAGCCCTGTCGAGTGGTTTGCCCATAGGGTAATGCAATTTCAATAATTATTTCCTCCTTTGATAGATTGCCGCCACTTGATTGAATGGTGCCTCTCATTAACACCAGAGAAGCGACCTTCCTTGGAGCAGATCCTGGCTCATCCGTGGATCCTCACGTTCTTGGAGCCAAGCGGACGCAAAGTACAGCAGCCCACCACTCACAAAGGTGGTACTAGCCTCCGGACAGAATAGGGACAGCCTGTCATCCAAAGAGCAAAGGCACCATAACTTCTCCGGCACCAAAGGACTGATCTAATCACTGTTTCTTATTCCTGCTGATTAGCTGAGCGGGAAATTGCCAGTGGGGGCAATTTCTGAAATCCCAATGGTGTGGCAGTAATCCTGCCCAACTGAGTAGACAATGGGGCTGTCACATGGCCCCTACACAAGACAACAGAGACCAAGGGGTAATGTTTTGTTTACAAGGACTCTGCCTGGCCCTGCGTGCTGGGAAGGGGCAGAGACTGGCACCAGGCAAGCAGTTTCAAGGCTTTCTCTTATATGATTTGTACGACTCAGGACCCCAACCTCCTTGGGGGCAGCAGGATCGACTTTATTTTTATGTAACGTGGATATATATGCTTATGTCTCTGCAGGTGACAGCTTATTTATTTAGCATAATATTCCATTCGGGGTGGGCGGGCTCATTTTTATGCTGATGCTAAGCGTTTACCTGCTATCATTTTGAGTGTAAAAAAAATTTCTTTTTTCTCCAGTGCAGCCCAAAACTGGCTCTATAACCTCTCCCCACTTTACCCCCATATATCCATTCCTGTTCAGCCATTCCAAGTCTGAAACCAAGTTGTAGGGCTTGACTTCTCCACTATTGCCCTAATTTATATGGGGAAGGAAATGAAAAGTAAAGACCTAATCTCATTTAAAAATGTACAAAAGTTCAACCATAAATAAAGGTCGGTGTGCGTGTGTGTGTGTGTGAATTGAACTTCTGGAAAAATCCTCCTCTTTCAAGAACCTCAAATTTTGTTCACATTCAAGCCAAGCTTTCATTCCAAAGAAAATTTACCTTTTCCAAAGATGCTGGCAGAATCTTGCAATTCTAATGGTTTTAAGAATCCTGAGTTTCTTGTTTGAAGTTCCTGATAGGATTCTTGCCTCTTCTCATAGATCTTTCATCTGGGAGACTTTGGATATGAATGTGAATGGCCCAGGTTGTTCCTCTTTCCATCTCTTCAATTTTAGGCATCCCATGTGGTGGCTTGCAAGCACAACTGAGATGTTGGTTAATATTGGGAATGTCTGGTGCCATGGGTGTTTTCTTAGCTTTGGCAAATATCTTTTCATCTGTTGATTTTTCTGGACCTCCCTTCTCCCACCCTTCCCCCTTTTTTTTGTTTGCCTTAGAAACTGTGGGGTCAAAAGAGGGGACTTTCATGTTTACCCTTATTCATATTAATAAATTAGGCCAAAATACTCTAAATATTTGAGTAAGAACTTGTTTTTCAAAAAAGTAGCAGCAAGAGCCTTTTATTTTTTAAAGAAAAGTTTGGGTTACATGGGGTTCTCGGTGATTCCCCATCTTTTAAACCGAGGTCAGAGCCTTCTCTCGGCCAAATTTATTTCGATGGTTGTTTTGAAGTCTGGTCCTTCCACTTAGTAAAAAGAGAAGTACGCTATATCCTCAAGCAGTTATGACTGACTGTAGATATCTGAGGTGAAGATTCAAGTTGATTTTCACGCAGATTTATCGGTCATGATCATCTAAAGAGGACTCTGCAAACTTTAGCGTGCCTTGGTCTTCAGCCGAAAGGAGTGCTTGCCACAAACTTGTCCTGAAGGAAGCAGGTGAGATGATGAGCCTGCTTGATACCCTAATGCTGAAACTCCAAACTTACTAAAAGCAGGAATATTTTGCTCTAGCTCTCCTCTGGGAAGGTAAACAAGACTCCACTTTTAATCTGAATCTTAAAAGACATCTGGAAAACAGAGATTTAACTGCTGAGTGTCTTCGAGGTTCATAGTGACCTTAAAATAGTGAGACCCTCTGCTTCATGGAGAGAAAACCAATCTCCCCTCAATCTTTTCCTGGCCGTGATAAAATATGAATTTCTTGTTCCCTGTATCTGCACAAAGCTGAGCTGTCTTAAATTTCTGTCTCAACACAAATATTGTGCCTCTTAATAACTAAGTGGGTGCTGGATTAGAGGGATATGCAAAAAAAGGGAAAGTGCAAAACTGGAGATCCAGTCTGGGATATCACCAGCAACAGTTTCTAAACCTACTGCCACTAGTAATTGTAACAAGAATATTTATACGCCAGTTCAGATTGTTATTACTTTATATTTGTGGACTTGTGTGTTTTGTTACTACTGCCTCATGTACATTTATGCAACCACATAACACAATGCCTCGCCCTTTTGGGCCCCAGGATCTACAAAGCCCAACCTGGGTTTAAATAAACTTTTATAAGAAAAAAGTTATTTTTCTCTTGTGTGCGTGTGTATTTTGGGGGGAAATATCCATTGGGTGTCCATGTGTGTAAATGACCTTGGTTTTAAGATCAATAGATCTCCACTGATTCGGTGCTTAGTTCCAGAATTTTTATATTTGTAAAACCTTTTATCCTCTGAGAAATTTAAATAAGCTTGAAAGCAAAGGATACCTACAGAGATCTGCTATGGCACATGCTTTACATCCTTTGTACTTTGAAGAATGTTCAAATTAAATTTAAAATATAAATGATAATGCATTTTTTAAAATCTTTGAAATAACTACAAAAATAGCAAAATATGCAGAGAAAATTCTGCTTAACTGTTAGTGACAATATATGAGGTTAGGCAGTAGCTAATGGTTGGCCCATCAAAGGTCCTTAAAATAAAAGTCTCTTTTTTTTGTCATTCAAAGCAGTTTGAATATGCACTGGATCTATATATTGTACTAAATATCTTGGCTTATCAGATAAATCAGTTGGGTTTATCCAAATCTTAAACCACAAATAGATGCTAAGCCCCCTGAGGCCCATCTGGGTTTGGTTTTGTTTTGAAGCAGAGTGCAAGATATCCTGGAGGATTTTTTTGCTAAATTTCTTTAGCAATTATTTAGCTGGATACTTGGATCTACAAAGGTGTATAATGCCTTGTGAATTACCGGAATTGTCGCTACCAATTTACCTTTTTAATTTATATTTATTTGTATACTGCCTTTATTGTTTTTACAAATAACTCAAGGCAGTGAACATATCCAACACATCTTCCTCCTCCTATTTTTCCCACAACAACCACCCTGTGAGGTGAAGTGAGTTGGGCTGACAGAATGACTGGTCCAAGGTTATCCACTGGCTTTCATAGCTAAAACGGGACTGAAACTCTGGTCTCCTGCTTTCTAGCCTGGTTCCTTAACCACCAGACCAGAGATGTCAAACTCAATTTCATTGAGGGCCACATCAGGATTGTGTTTGATCATGGAGGGACATGGTCAGGATGGGCATGGCCAGTTTGATGTCACTCATGTCAGGTGCCTGTAGTGGCCCAAGCACTCTGCCAGTGAAAATGGCCCTCCCGAGTACCTTCTTTGTTGGCAGAGGGTTGTTGAAAGCCATCGCAGACAAAAACAGAGCTCAGGAGGCCACGCACAGCCCTCCCAAACACCATTTTCACTGGCAGAGGCATAGCGGGCTGGTCCTTCGCTGTTTCCAGGGCAGCCCTGCGGGCCAGATCTAAGCACCCTGAGGGCCACAAATTTGATACCCCTGCACTAGACCAAACAGGCCTCCTATCCATTATTCAAAGTCTGGTTATCAGTTTTTCCTCAATCATGCAAAATATCCATCTATATAATCTGTAGGTTTGGTTTCAGCAAAACCCACAAAATCATAGATACACTGATGCTATCTATGATGTATGCCGTTTCCATCAGTTTCCATTAAAAGGTAGCTAGCTATCTTTCTTACTTGCAGATACCTTAAAATGTAATTAAATCTCTCTATTCTTGTTCCCAATGCTTGCTTGTGTTCTGATCCACAAGATTGTTCGCACGTCTTCAGGAAGTGTATAGAAGGCATTTCCTTTTCACTTGGAGTAGCATACCTATCTCCCAGGGTGTGAATCCAAATTTAATTGAATGCCTTATGACACAAGGGAAGCAACTGGAGAGGTTGGCTACCTTGCCAAGTTGTGAGACTGATTTAACCTGTTTTTAGGAGTTCGCGATTGCCCACAGATTTATGAACCACTGGGAGTTGCCATTAAAATTGTCCCTGAGCAATGTTTGATAGAAGCAAGGATGGAATTAGACCATAAATCTAGACCAAAAGTTGCAGATGTCACTATCTTGTTAAGAGATGGGTAAGTGGAGCGTCATTCGTGTCATGCTCTCAGCGTGAGAAGTTCTAGTTCTTCCAAGCACGTGGGTGTTGTCTGGGGGAGATAAAGCATGAGGTTTCTCCAGTCAGGTCCTGACAAGATTAAAGCAGCTCAGCATCCTATTAAAAGAGGTGTGTTCTTAATGCTGGAGTATAAATGCTTCTGCTGGAACAACTGCTTTGAGAAATGCAGAAACTGTTGGAGTGAGTCTTTCAGGTAAGTCAATGGGCTTTGGCAAATAGATGGGCTGTGGGTATGTCACCAATGCCTCTTTCATTAGAGACGCAGATTAATCTAGTACCTGGGATAAGGCTGATTAATACAATGGTTGGCTCTGCCTAACAGTTTTCAAGCAAAATCAGTTTGTAGAAATGTAAATGTCATCTGGGAAAGAAAAGTACCATAATAATTCAGTGTTTAGTATAATACTTCTCCACTGAACCAGAAACTACTGTAATGATTTGGAGAAACGGTTGTTCAAATCACAGATCAGAGAAGAAAGCATACTGTAACTGTGAGTCCAACTTAAATGGCAAATATAGGAATGAAACGGCTAGGAAAGGATGACATCTGGAATCAAAATTGGAGGCCGAAGTACTACCGTGTTTCCCCAAAAATAAGACCCCGTCTTATATTTTTTTGAACCCTGAAAAAAGTGCTTGGCCTTATTGCCATGCGCTCAAAAGCCCAATTGTGCTTATTATCAGGGGATGTCTTATTTTGGGGGAAACAGATCTGATCTGAGATATACAGATGGCACCACTCAATGCAGGTGAAAAAGAAAAGATCATTATGAAAGTCAGTGGAAAATATAAAATCTGGATTACAGCTAAATATTAAGACAAAGATAATGTCGACCAGCATGTTTCCTAAACTTACAAGTGACAGCAAAAAAATGAAAGTAGTAGGTAGCTCTGTTTTGGGGATTCAAGAATAGTTCAAGATGAACAGTATCCTGAAAAGGTAAAGAAAAACAGACAAGATCATGAAGGATATAGACATTTCAGTTACAATCAGTTGTAGACAACTGAAATTCACACAGTGTGGTTTATGAGCTGGAAAAAAAATAACCTCGACAAACTGAGGCCATGGAAAAAGTCAATGCTTAAAGTGGAAAGACAAGATCAAAAGAATTACAGGAATTCTGTGGAAGAGGTGCAAATACTCGAGCTGAGTACATGGACCATTTCGATCTATCTCTAATATAGATCAAGATGGTCCATATATTCAGCTCGAGTCAAGCCCAACTCAGTGACACCTAACTGGTGTATCTAGATGTCTTGAACTACAACTACTACAACTGCTTCTGCGTGAGCAGGGGGTTGGGCTAGATGACCTCCAAGGTCCCTTCCAACTCTGTTACTGTTACTGTTATTGCTTGCCATGTTGATTTGAGTTAATGAAGGTTGAAATCCAAAGTATTTGGAAGGCATAATGTTGACTATCTGTGCTTTGCATGCATTATAATAGTAAACTTGATTTATGCTTCGAAGGTAAGTCATTATTTTGCTGATTTTATGAGAGAGAACTGTCACTTCATGTCTTAGATGTACCCTCTGCCATGAGAAGGATATTTGGGGTTTGAATTAGGAGCTTCCATCTTATCAGTTATAATCTTAATGTATCCTACCTCAATTTGCAGTGCACACCTACTTATGTATTTTTAAAAATTGTATGTTCCTTCACATGTATGAGTCTTCTCCAGTTTGGTACCCCACAGATTTATTAGGATTGCAGCTCAGTGTTCCAACCCAGCATGCCAATAGTTAAGAAATCTTGGAATTGCTCAATAATTTGGCAGCTTAGGGAGTTGACGTTTTACATCCGGAATATAAAGACAAGATATGACAGAGAGATATGACACAGGTTTGCTGTCAGGTGCCAGGTAGAAGAAACAAATTAGATCCACAGCTAAATATCAGTTTCCTCACCTTTTAGTATATTTGAGAGTTTCTCATTTTCTTTTCCAACGGCCCATAAATAATATTTTAAATACTGTCATGGAGCTGGGGAAATATCTAGTGATGTTTAACCTTGAGAAGGCTGACTGAACAATTCAAATGCTTGAGCAGATGTCACCCAGAGGAAGAAGAGCTGTTCTCTACCCACTCAGAGTGCAAAAACAATGGATTTAAGTTAAAGGAACAGATATTCCAATTAGACATTAGAAAGAACTTCCCAGTGTAACAATAGTTCCCAGACAGAAATGGTATGCTCCTTTACACGGGAGTTAATTCTGAGTAAGGATTTGAAGTTAGTGATCTAAATTACCCCTCAGGATCCTGTGATTCTATGGAGTGATTTGAAGTTGTTGAATATGAGTACAAAATCAGAGGATAAATGAAATATTTATTTTTATTTTATCTATTTGGTTTGGTTGGGGAATACTTGGAGTTGAAGCCCACAAGTCTTAAAGTTGCCAATGTTGGATGTCTGTGGAGATTCTCAGTTGCCCATGTCATAGTTGTCTCAAAGGTATTTTTTTTCCCCCTTCAAAAGGCAACTGGACTGGGTTTTTTTTTCCTTGAGGAAGAAGAAGAAAACATTTTGATTCTCATTCAAGAAGCTTCATTAGTTGTGATGATGGGGGATGGAAGGATAGGTACCTATCCAGTCCATTTGACTTTTGAAGAAAAAATAACAACCCATCTTTGCCAAGGTTGGACATCCCTGCTTTAAATTGTGCCCTACATATAGAATTACTACATCTTAACAGTAACGGAGTTGGAAGGAACTTTGGAGGTCATCTAGTCCAACCCCCTGCTCACACCTGTATTAGGGATTCGAACCTCTGAACTGCCGACCTTTCTGATCGATAATCTAAGCCGCTAAAATCCAGATGACCACTATACGGCTGCAAAGCCTTAGGATTTCCGGTGTTTCTTTGCTCCCATGTAATAATTTTCTGGATTTTATCATTCCAGATCTGGTGGCCCCACTGTAAGCATGACTTTCCAGAACAAGCATAATGTCATCCCTCTGGCATGATTGGGTCAGCAGCAGCCTAGCTTTATTAGAGTCTATTAAATTGCAGTTATTAGACTAAGGAGGGCTTTTGAAATCAATAGCTGAGTGACGGGTTATGCGCACTAATCTTGTGATAATTAAGATTATTACTCGATGATTAGTTTGATACTATTAGCTTCAGTCATCATCATGCTTTCTTTGCATCCCCAGTCAAAATGGGTAGTGCCAAGACAGCCAAGGACCTAGTCAATATGGATAACTCAATTGGCATGCTGGAAACTCAGGTTGAGTGAGGAACCTGTTGTTCGTGCAGCGAAACGGTTATATAATTGTTCACCAACTTGCTCAGGTTCCAGTCTATTATACTAGAGCCAATTAGAAGTTGCCAAAAGCAAAGACTTCGAGGGCAATAAACATGCTTTGAAGTGCAAGCCAATTATGTGGATCCACAATTTCAATGACTAGCCTCCTACTGAATTTTATGTGGATCTACCTAGTCTGTATTTTCTGCATGGCCACACAAATGAATTCTGAGATCAACTCATTTGACCTGAGAGCCCATGTAGTATAAAAATTATATTACTAGAGTAGCAAGTAAGTGGTTGCAGTGTTGAAATAAGGAAACATGGGTTCAAGTCCACTTTTGGCCTGGAAACTCCCAGGTGATTTTGGCTCACTTGCTTTATCTGAGCACAATCTACCTTGTTGTTAAAGGAATAACATTAAAAGTGATCGTACACAAATAGTCCTCAACTTATGACCATTTATTTAGTGACTGTTTGATGTTACACAGTGCTGAAAAAAGTGATTTATGACTGCTCCCCTTCTGTCCTGCCACAAAACCATTGTAGCATCCCCATGGTCATGTGTTCAAAATTTGGGCACTTGGCAACCGGCATGTATCTATGACATTTGCCGTTTTCCACAGTCATGTGATTGCCACCTGTGATTTTCCCAGTTGGCTTCCAAAAAGCAAAGTCAATGGGAGATTGCCAGATTCACTTAATCACAGTGATTCATTTAACAACTATGGCAAAAAGGTCATAACATTGGGCACAACTCACTTAAGGACTGCCTTGCGAAATATTTTGGTCCCAATTATAATCATAAGTCAAGGACTTTCTGTAAAATGCACCTGCTAACACGGCATGGAAGGAAAGGAAGGAGAAGAGGAGAGGAAACTGACAGTATAAGAGTTAGTAAATACAAATACAGGTAGTCCTCAACTTACAACAATTCATTTACTGACCGTTCAAAGTTACATTGGCACTGAAAAAACTGACGTATGACCATTTCTCACTTACGACTGTTGTAGCATCCTCATGGTCACGTGATCAAAAGTCAGATGCTTGGCAACTGACTCACCTTTATGACGGATGTAGTGTCCTGGAGTCATGTGATCTGCTTTTGCGACCTTCTGACAAGCAAAGTCAATGGGGAAACAAGATTCACTTAACAACCGGGTTACTCACTTAACAACTGCAGTAATTCACTTAACAAAATGTGGCAAGAAAGATAAAGTGGGGCAAAACTCACTTCACAAATTTCTCACTTAGTAACATAAATTTTGGGCTCCATTGTGGTCATAAGTTGAGGACTATCTGTATATGGTGTAATAATGCATTGCATAGGGCTCAAAAATAGTTTTTAAGCATTTTCCTCCAAGTCTAACAGACACAGTGTTAAAAATATTCTCTTCCTTGCCTGAAAGATCCTCATGTTCACTCTTACCATTTGCTAAAATTTTCTGCCATTGTGCCACGGTGTGCCGCAAATGTGTACCAGAGAGAGGTAGGAAAGAGAGGATGAGAGAGACTGACTGTAATTCATCCTATTTTTCACTACCTAAAATGACTACAACCTCTTACTCAGAGCTTAAACGAAGGATAAAGAGTAATCAGTAGAAAGTTTAGCTGCTCCGGCTGATACTGTAGTGTTTTAGCTTCAGCAGACGGGAGGCACTGGAAGCTTGGATGGTGGAGACGGAGTAGGCCCGTCTCTAGGAGCCCAAGGGCACACTGTTTACAAGTATATGACACTACAGCACAACTCTGTGTTTCAGGCCTCCAAGCGTTGCAACACAGGGCAAACGGGTTTATATCTGTCAAGCAAATTAAATCACCTTCACCGTCTTATGAAATTAGAGGAGGACTGCTACTCCGAAGGAACCGCGTGGGCTAAGGGGGAGGGAGGAAGAACAGAGACAGCCTCTCCCAGCATGATTTAACCTGATATCTTGAGAAGCTTGCCAGAAATAGTAGTTGGCAAGTATTCCCCTGTCACTCCCGTCTCTCATTTATATACAAGAGCCCCCAAAGGGGAATGCATGTGGCAGTTCAGATCAAGGAAATGCATGCTGGGGCAGGTAAAACCTGTAAAATATCTGCCACGGGGATCCGTGGCTTTTCACCATTCTCTTTCACTACAGGTAGTCCCTCAGTTTATAACCATTTGAGGTGACCATAAACCAGAGGTGAAATCCAGCAGGTTCTGAGAGGTTCTGGAGAACCGGTAGCGGAAATTTTGAGTAGTTCGGAGAATAAGCAAATACCACCTCTGGCTGGCCTCAGAGAGGGGTGGGAATGGAGATTTTGCAATATCCTTCCCCCAGGAATGGGGAGGGAATGGGGATTTTGCAGTATCCTTCCCCTGGAGTGGGGTGGGAATGGGGATTTTGCAGTATCCTTCCCCTGCCACGCCCACCAAGCCCCGCCCACAGAACCAGTAGTAAAAAAAAATTGGATTTCACCACTGCCACAAACCCTTGAAAGATATTTACAATCTGGCTCCAAAGTTCCAATGACCAGACACTCCACCCCACCCTCCATCGGATCACTTGATCGCATTTCAGAGACTCCGCAAACAGTACGTAATTATGGTCATTTGCAGTGTCCTGCGATCACATGACCGCGATTACAATGTTTTTGCTGAAAAATCAGTATTTACTTCCAGTTTTTGCCCCATAGAGAACAAGGGGTTTGCTTAATGAATAATGGATGCCATGTAAGGGCGTAACGTGGAAGATCTGCTTTACGGCCATCACAACAAATAACCGTAATGGCAGGTTCCAATACTGTTGTAAGTCGAGGACTTTATACAGGTAGTCCTCAACTTACGACCACAATTGATGTTGCTAAGTGAGAAATTTGTTTCATTTATGGTGCTAAGTGAGAAATTTGTTAAGTGAGTTTCGCCCCATTTTACGACTTTTGTTGCCACCTTTGTTAAGTGAATCAGTGCAGTTGTTAAATTGGTAGCATGGTTGTTAAGCGAATTTGGTTTCCCCACTTACTTTGCTTGTTAGAAGGTTGCAAAAGGTGATCACATGACCCCGGGACACTGCCACTGTCATAAATGTGAGTCAGTTGTCAAGCATCCGAATATAAATCAACTGATCATGGAGATGCTACAATGGTCATAAGCAGTGGTGGGCTACTGCCAGTTTGGACCAGTTCTACTGAACCGGTAGTTCTGACGATCAGCTGGCCCCGCCCACATACTGCTGTCCTATCCTGTCCTATGTTTCCTTCTTTCTGGCTCATCTGATTCGCGCGGCACAGCTGCTTTCCACGCTTCCCCTGTTCTACTTACCGGGGCTGCCTTAGAAGGTAAGCAGCTGAGCTTTAAACTGCTGAATTTTGAACGCTGCGCGCAAGCACGTTAGGCGCGCTTGCGCTCAAAGCCCATATGCGCGCACAAAACACACGCTCACAGAACTGGTTGTTAAACCGGTTGCAGCCCACCACTGGTCATAAGTGTGAAAAACGGTCACAAGTCCCTTTTTTCAGTGCCGTTGTAACTTCGAACAGTCACTAAGCGAACTGTCGTAAGTCAAGGACTTTATATAAACATTTGTGCTTTCTGAAAGTCCACAATTTCTTAACTGTTTGCAGATCTTTCTTTGAATCTGTTGTGCATCGTAAAGGTTACGTCTGTCTAAAGAGGTTAAACCGCATGCCACGTTAAAACAAACACAAAAGCAGTTGCCTCTCTCTTTGAATTAATTTCAAGATCAGGGGGATTATTAGCACCAGGGAGGCAGTGAGTTTCCATAAATCTATATACATACACAATGCAAGATGGTTTAGCTGTTCCTGCACCTTGAAACCCCTAACCCTGTCTACTTAGCGGCAAAGAAAAAAAAAACAATGAAGGGAAGGATAAAAATAAACACAATAAAGGGTGGATACCAGCAAACACAATTGGGCTTCATTCTTGCGGCTAAGGATGAGTACTGAGGCATTAAGCCAGGAGTGAACAAGCTTTGGCCTTCAGACTGCTTGCAGTCCTGGATCTAATTTGAGTGACCCTTGGCCTAATTTGAAAACCCTCAGTTAGCAGTCAGATTAGAGTACTACTAAAATGAGGGCTCTGCCACTGTTTTATCGGTCTACAAGGCACTTTGGTCTTATCTTTTAAGTGCATACTCACACCCCTAACAGATTTCCCCCTGAGAAAATGTTTCCTTGGAATAGAATAGAATAGAATAGAATAGAATAGAATAGAATAGAATAGAATAGAATAGAATAGAATAGAATAGAATAGAATAGAATAGAATAGAATAGAATAGGCCAAGTGTGATTGGACACACAAAGAATTTGTCTTGGTGGATATGCTCTCAGTGTACATAAAAGAAAAGATATGTTCATCAAGAATCATAAGGTACAACACTTAATGATAGTCGTAGGGGACAAATGATAACAAGCAACAAAATTACAGTCATACAGTCATCAGTGTAAGGAGATGGGTGGTGGGAATGATGAGAAGATTAATAGTAGTGCAGACTTAGTAAATAGTTTGACAGTGTTGAGGGAATTATTTGTTTAGCAGAGTGATTGCATTTGGGAAAAAACTGTTCTTGTGCCAAGTTGTTCTGGTGTGCAGTGCTCTATAGCGTCGTTTTGAGGGTAGGAGTTGAAACAGTTTATGTCCAGGATGCGAGGGGTCTGTAAATATTTTCACAGCTCTCTTTTTGACTTGTGCAGTATACAGATCCTCAATGGAACGCAGGTTGGTAGCAATTGTTTTTTCTGCAGTTCTAATTATCCTCTGAAGTCCTTCCTTCACCCAGAAAATACCTCCCCATCCTTAAGCCACAGGTTTCACAAAAACAGAAATTTGGACGAAGTGAAAAAGAGAGAGAGGTGATTATCCATACAGACACATCCCAAATATTTTGCTTTATATAGACCAGGGGTCTCCAACCTTGGCAACTTTAAGACTTGTGGACTTCAATTCCCAGAGTTCCTTAGCCAGCTTTGGAGACCCCTGATGTAGACTGTTTATAGCCAAACCAATAAATTAACTCTCTGAATTCTTTCTAGCAAACAGACTGGGATAAAACAAACTTTGGATTCTTCTGGCCTTGGAAGGAAAGCTAGGAATAAGCCTCTTCTCCCAAGAACTCAGCATGAATAGAATTATTGTGTACGACAAACCCAATTTTGAAGGCCTCAGCAAAGAGTTCACCTCTGATGTCCCTGACCTGCATGAATTGGATTTTGGTGATTGTATCTCCTCCTTGAAGGTGAGAGGGCAGCCTTGGGTGGCCTACAAGCTCTCAAAGTTTGAAGAGGACGGCGTCATTTTTGAGGAAGGGGATTATGCTGAGATTGACAACAACAACAGGATTTCATCCCTACGACTAGTTCACCAGGATCTCTCTGACCCTCAAATTACACTGTATGAAAATCCCAACTATGAAGGTCAAAGCAAGGTGGTGAAGGAGGAGACTAACCTCGCCTACGGTTACTTTAATGACCGGGTCTCCTCCCATGTGGTTCAGAGGGGTGTCTGGCTGCTCTATAAAAATCCAAACCGCGGGGGATGGTATCACATCGCCTGGCCAGGGGAACGCATTCATGACTATAAATCTGAGATCAACTTCGATGATAATGTCTCTCACTTGCAACCTTTGAAACCGGGCCGTCCAATCATTACCGCCAAGTTGTTGTGGGATCAAAAGAAAGTGGAAGCTGAGCATGACGTTCTGATCGATGAGATTGTGGGAACCAACTGCACCGAATACGAACAAGCGTTTACCACCAACTCCACTCGAGAATATACTGCCACGGTGTTCCAGAGCTTCCACTTCAGCAACACCACTTGCCTAAAACTCGGCTTTTCTTTCCAGGTGACCTTGGGTTGTTCCAATATATTCATAGTGGAGAAAGGCAAAAGCGAGTCCACTACCACTACTGAGAAGGTAGAGGTCCTGCTGCCTGCCAAAATCCCTCCATGCACTGAACTTTCCATACAGGTGATCAAGAAGGAGACCACCACCTCAGTGCCAGTGGAGCTCACCATCTGTCAGAATGGCAAAGAAAAGAAGGAGAACGCTGAATACCGCAGTGTTTCGGGCCGTACCATCAGCACCAGATATACCATGAAGCCTGTCCCAGCAGCAACAGGCACATCCCAAGCTAAACCACAAGAAGTATGACAGAGGAGGGACAAAAGCAACTATGTCAACTCTTGCACATGGATAGATCTAGGAGAACATTTTCAAGCACGGCCTGGGCCGAGGATGAGGAAGAGAACTTAAGTTATTTCTGATTAGGCTCCTTTCAGATTAATGTTCTTGTAGTTGCAGATACTTTCAGACTGAGAAGGAAGAGAAAAACAAGAGCCTGCTTTTTCTAGAGGTGGTGATGGTTTCTGAGTTTAAATAATTAGGTTACGGGAATATAATGAGGTTTGGAGATAACAGTTTAATCCGGATGGCAATTTATATAGAAAAAACATGAATATTTTCCTGAAGATATATTAACTACCTGGAAAATCAAGAACGGATGTAATAATTTTTCCTCAATTTGAACAGTTAATACTATTCTTAGTACTGAACATCATAAAACAGCATAATTAAAAGATCTACAAGGTTATCTGTATTTCTTAGTTAAGGGGAGGAAGCAGTGGTTGGTTGGTTTTATTTATCTGATGAAATTGAATTTTAAAGGAACGAACAGTTCTTTATTAACTTACATAAACCTCCATTCAAAGACATTTCTTTTTATTTTACTGGTCCAGCTTTATTTCTCATTAAAGTTATCCCTCTGATCTCAGATGTCTCACTTTACTGTGTATGATCAGGTTTTATTTGCTTATTTCAAACATTGTATATCTAATGCATAGCCATTTCAATTCAGTTATTGAATTCACTCATTTCCAGGTACATACCCTAAACTGAACTATAAATTAAAGAAGCTAGTTCACAACCCCATTTAAGACACACATAAGACCCCCCGGGTCAGAAAACCAGGCAAATCACTGTTAAAACCTACTTAAAGGCACATACCGTAATCATTCAATTGGCAGGGCCACATGCAGCCAATCCAAGCTGTGAGTGAGAACCCTTTCAAAAATTGATGACCAGTTATATTTTGTAAGAGAACATAAAGGGGAATAATTCAATTATATGTATTTATTTCATTCAGTTTCGATTTGAATCATGCTCCTTCATGGACAATCCCAGTTCAATCACAGAGTGCCTTTCAAAGGCCAAATGAGGCAGTTAGCTCAAAAATGTCACACAGTCCTTGCTTTATGACTAGCATCCCACTGTTCCTGATGAGAACCCCAACATCAAAGTACATTGTGTGACCTTGTTTGGCAACCTGGTGAGGTCAAGTGCACAAGCAGGGATTCTTGCTTTTGTGGACATCCTGATAGCCACTTCTCTGGATAGCCTCTTAGCTTCTCTTGACCTTTTGCCTGCAACTTGCTAATGTAAAGTGTGACCTTTCCGGGATTGCCGTCAATTGCATCACATCCAGGGGTGGGTTCTACTTACTTTTACTACCAGTTTGCAACAGGTCCGCACGTGCGCTCTTCTACGCAAGTGCAGAAGCTTCTGCGCATGTGCAGAACAGTGGTGGGTTCTAACTGGCTTTACTACCGGTTCTCTTTGTCCGCGCGCAATCGCCTCTTTGGTCACATGCTTTGCAGATTCGCAAGTGCGTTGCGAATCTGCCCAGCTGAGGTGTGGCAATCCGCTCTACCGCACCTTTCAGCTGAGCGAAAAAAGAAGAAATATAAGGTTGGAATAACGCGGGGGCAGGCGGGAGGGCCCAGCTCCCGAAGAAAGAGAACCCGAACTGGGCCGAACCGGGAGGAACCCACCACTGGTGCAGAAGCATTCTGATGATGTCAGGGTCAGTGGGCGGAGCCTCCTGTCGGCTTTACTACCAGTTCTATAGAACCGGTGCGAACAGGGGGCAACCCACCACTGATCACACCAATTTCTACTAAACTGCAGTGCTGTTAACACAGGACTGTAAAGCTACCATTGGGGCAGAAAGGCCCTTGCTCTTCAGAATCCTCTTCTTTGTGGCTCTTGAGTTATCCATTAAATGAGCAGGGAGAGGGAAGTAGGAAATGATGGCTCCAAATGTTTGGTTCCTCTCTGCTCTTTGGACCCACTTCGACTCACCACCGGGTGACTCAGGACTATCGGTCACTGATTCCCCAGACTTGTCAGAGTTGGAACCTTTTACCCAGTTAAATGTTCTGGAACAGCCCTTTGATCCCAAGAGGGTATGTAATTAAAGCTTCTATGGTGAGATGGGTGCTAGGACTTTTGTGCCAAGCCAAGCTGATGTTTCCTAGTGTGGAGGAGAAGCACCGAGGTCTTCTGAATCGACCAGAAAGAATGGGCAAATATGTACCTGCAAAGAAATGGATGTAGCTCACCTATATCAATTGATCAGACGATGGGGATGGGGAAAATAGTATGTCAAAAGCAATGCTAAGGGAAGACACTTTCTGTCCAGGTTCAGGTGCGTCTGCAGAAGACAATTTAAAAAGAGCCAAGATAGTGGAATATGAAGCAACAACAACTATGTTGTCTTTTTGATCCTCTCTCCAGATATCTAAATTCTTCCCACCCCACCCCCGAATATTTTGGAGGGTTGTTTCCAGCAATATAGTTATAATTAACCTAAATCAGTGTTGGCTAACCCAGTGGTGATATGTAAAATTTGTTACTACCGGTTCTGTGGACGTGGCTTGGGGGGGTGGGAGGGGTAATGTGACTGGGTTGGCATGGCCAACTTTTTTTTTTTTACTTTTTAAAAGCATTTTTTTATAACCTATTCGGGTGAAAAAGATTTTCCAACCTTTTTTTGTGGTGGTCATTAAGCGAAGACGGCAGTTGAAAAGTGAACTAATTCTTTTCTCTGGGCCTCTTGTTAAAAATTGGAAATAAATGCCTAAGCAACTGGTCATAAGTTAAGGACTATCTGTAACACTCCCTAAAATATAGCCATTCTCCATTTGTGATTCACCCTCCCTAACAAATGTTGAATCAGGGGTGGGTTCTAAATTTTTTTACTACCGGTTCTGTGGGCGTGGCTTATTTTGTGGGTGTGGCTTGATGGTCATGTGACAATTCTTTAGGATTTAGCTGAGGTACTGGTCTACCAGGCTTTTAACTGCTTGCAGAGCTGTACTGGTCTACTCATTTATTTTTGCAGGCACTGGTCTACCCATTTATTTTTGCAGGCACTGGTCTACTCATATATTTTTGCAGGCACCGGTCTACTCATGTATTTTTGCAGGCACCTGTCTACTCATTTGTTTTTGGAGGCACCGGTCTACCACCAAACTGCCTTTTACCACTGATCAGCTGTAGGGCGGCCCTTTGAAGCCCCACGTCAAGAGTTTAAACAGTTTTTTTCCTTATGGCCCATCAGCTGGGACTCAGGAGGCAGCAATAGATTGGGGGTGGGGCCAAATAAAAGGTAAGAATAACGTAGGGTGGGGGTGGGGGCAGAACCGGTTCGGTGACGTCATATTGTCACCACTACCGGCTCGGCCGAACTGGGCCGAACCGGGAGGAACCCACCACTGTGTTGGATATTTTTTAACTATCAAAGATTCTGCATCCTTCCCTCCTTCTCTCATGGTTTTCAGAAGCTACTGTGTTTCCCCGAAAATAAGACCCTGTCTTATATTTTTTTGAACCCTGAAATAAGTGTTTGGCCTTATTTTCAGGAAAGTCTTATTATTCTGGGGTGCGTGGAGCAAGACGGGGCTCCTCTTGCTGTATTACCTGATTTCCAACTGTCTCCCTAACCCTAACCAGAGGAAATGGCGGGGACCGACTGTGCGTGTGATTAAATATTTTCGGGGAGGGCTTATTTTCGGGACAGGACTTATTTTCAGGGGAGGGTTTATTTTTGGGGAGGTTTTATTTTTGGAGGAGGTCTTATTTTTGGGGAAACACAGTAGAGGCAATTTTAATTCTTCCAATCTTCCAGCTAAATTTTATTAGTGTACATATCGGCAGCAAAGGGTTAATTTGTTATTACTGTTGTGGTTTTTTTAAAATCATCTTGATGGATTTCTATTATCATGTTTATCATTCCAACCCATTATAATTCACCTGGATATAAAACTTGCAAAAATAAATGTAAATACAGAAAAAGGAATAACACGAATAGGGAATCGCTGTCTCAAAGGCTGCATCCAGGCTGTTGAACCTTCAGTGTTTAACTTCAACCTGAGGCATTTCCTCACTGACCACTTTCCAATCTGGCAATTCTTGTTTTTTTTCTTCTCCCAAAAGCAAACTGTAACATGTAGTTAAAAAGGTAAATGGAATGTTCACCTTATGTCAGCTTCTGGCGAAGGAATTGATTTGGGGGGGACAGTGTTATGCAAGCGGTCCTGTCTAGCCACCCGTTCTGTATTTTCCAGGGTGCAGTGTTCCATGCAAATATTAACCAGGTGCGATTTTGCTGCAGTCAGAATTCTGCGCTACCAAGGTTGCAAGCTGCTGCCATCTGCTGAGGGAACACTGGGGAAGAATTTCACAAAAATTACAACTGTAGGGAAAAGGTTAATGCCCCCCTCCCCATTTGTGATCTCATGGAGATTATCTGTTTGGAAACCAATTAGGCATGCAAAAAAGCTTGCCAAACCTTGTCAAACTGTGAAGAGGTCAAATGCACCTTTTACCTAATGCTAAGGTTCAGTCTAAAAATCAAGCAACGAAAATCAACAAAAAGAGGATAGGTGGCAGGGAGGGAGCAGCAATCTAAAAATAACTAACCCCAAACAAGAGGATGAGCCAGACATCTACAACGGGATCCGGATCGTCAAATCCTTGATTAAAGTGCAAGATATTGCTCTGTGTCACAAAGCTCACAGAAAGGCTGTTTAATGTTTACATTAATAATTTAAAATCAGCAAAACAGAAAATGATAGCTATCATGCCACACCAAAACCGGGCAACGAAGCACCATCCAGTAGTTAAATGTTTCCGATTTCAATCTTTTCCTTATTTATTTTAAATTATTCACCTTAATTTCATGAGTATTTAAGATAAAGATAATGATAGTCTTGAGTCAATTACTTAAATAGTTTGCCATTGCCTTTTTTTTCAGAAAGATTTTTTCAATTTCCCAGTCTAGGTTATATCCTTGGGATTTCTTGGTGGTGTCCAGAACTAGTACCAGATCAGTACAAACCAGTCTCATCACCAGGCTTAGGTGATTGTTGTTGTTTAACTTCAGTTACCTAAATTAAGCTGAGTGTCACCTTCTTCTATGAGTTATGTCCCATTAAATAAACCAAAAACTATAGTACTCCTGTGATACTTTCCAAATGTACTCAGTCTTGGATGACGTCCTTCTTTCATATGCACATTTATGCAAATAGTGTTTACGGTAATTCACGGTAAGCCTAGGAGAGTTATTAGGCAATTTGATATCTTTTCATGGAAAGTAATTGCTCAGACATAAGGTTGAAGTTGCTAGTGCTTCCCTGTATTGCATGATGTGTATAGGATTAACTGGGTTATTTCTTTTAGGCAAATATTAAGGTTTTATTTAAACAAACATTATTGCTTCTGTCAACCTAGTAGTTCGAAAGCACGTAAAAAATGCAAGTAGAAAAATAGGGACCACCTTTGGTGGGAAGATAACAGCATTCCGTGTGCCTTTGGCATTTAGTCATGCCGGCCACATGACGATGGAGACATCTTTGGACAGCGCTGGCTCTTCGGCTTTGAAACGGAGATGAGCACCACCCCATAGAGTTGGGAACGACTAGCACAT